AAATCAGTCATGGAAGGGAGGGAGGGAGGGAGGAAGGAAGGAAGGAAATCTGTCATGGAAGGAAGGGAGGGAGGGAGGAAATCGGTCATGGAAGGGAGGGAGGGAGGAAGGAAGGAAGAAAGGAAAGAAAGAGAGAAGGAAGGGAGTTGGTTATGGAAGGAAGGGAGGGAGGAAGGAAGGAAGGAAGGAAGGCAGGCCTCTGGAGATAAACAGTAGGGAATTAGGTTTCAGATTTGATAATTTCTGAGATTTACTGATCTCCCAAAAAACCAGGGTAGGGAAGTGGGAGAAAAGCTAAGCCAGCATCATGTTTGCCTGGGGTCTTTTCCCCCCCTGCAAATGCCCAACTCAGAGGTTGATAGAGTGAACGCAGCCATCCCACTCTAAACTTTCTTCCCCACGGAAACCCCAATGCTAAACCCATTCTGGCTATATGGCCCGTCTTAATAAAACTCAGCCAATAGCTCATCCAGTTAGAATGTACCTCTTATAGGCACACGTCGTAATTCTTTATTGTGTCTGCACACGCAATCATATGTCCTAATCAATATAGAAAACTACAGGAAGCTGTATAAGTGTCCTTCCAGAGCTCTTATAAGGTAAAGGTTCCCCTCGCACATATGTGCTAGTTGTTCCCGACTCTAGGGGGCAGTACTCATCTCCGTTTCAAAGCCAAAGAGCCAGCGCTGTCCGAAGACCTATTTTGATCTCTGTGCCTATTTTTCTACTTGCATTTTTTAACGTGCTTTCGAACTGCTAGGTTGGCAGAAGCTGGGACAAGGAACGGGAGCTCACCCCCTTTCGCAGCGCTAGGGATTCGAACCGCTGAACTTTCGATCGACAAGCTCAGCGTCTTAGCCACTGAGCCACCGGGTCCCTCTTTCAGAGCTCTTATAGGGTCTATCTTTTCACACAACCAGATAAAAATGTTTTCTAGTTCAGAGATCTCTGAGAACCTTGGCTATATCTGCAGGATGATTCTCAGGAAACTCTATATAGTTTCCTCATCCAGATGTGCTTCACAGACCATTCCTTTTCATTTGCATCTGCCTTTCCAGATAGTATAATGAGCTTTTGGTTAAATGCTGGCAGGTTTTTCCCTTCACTCCAAAATCCCAAATAAAAAAACATTATTTGGTACTCAATTCGGTACAACATCGGCAACCTGCTTCAACTTGTTCGCCTTTAATGCCTTCCCATGAATGAATCAAATATTCGAGCTGACAGCACAATAAAATATGGGGCTGGAGACAAGATGCTCTCCCAATTTCCTAACCAGCAAAATTACGTTACCTAGAAATTGCCAATCCCGCCATATTTGAAGGACATCAGCTGGAGGAAGACCGCTATAGAAGAAGACAATTGGAGGCCATTAAGGGCAGACAAGAAGCCATACACAAGTCCTCTTCTGCAGTGGTGGGATTCAAATAATTTAACAACTGGTTCTCTCCCTAATGACCGGCTGTGTGGGCGTGGCCATGGTGGGTGTGGCCAGAGGGTGTGGCAGGCGGCACTCAGCCTCCTGCACACCCCTGGGAGCAAACACATGCCATGGGGGGGCAGCATGGCGCTCCCCCCCCGCACGCCATTTTGGGCCTAGTAGGCGTCCCTGCAGCCTCCTGGGAGCAAAATTGGGCTGCGGGGGGTGGGCGCACCACACCCCCTGCGGCCCATTTTGGGCCTAGTAGGCCTCCCTGCACTTACCTGGGAGCCAAAATGGGGCACGTGGGGACTCCTGGATGGGGCAGGGCCAGCCAGCAATTTAACAACCGGCTCGCCCGAACCGGCTGAATCTCAGCACTGTTCTTGTGAACTCCGGAGCTTTCCGTCAATTCTGCCTAGCAAGCTTCTAAACCGGTCTATGGTTTCAACCAAGCGGTTGGAGGAGGAGGAAGAAGATGGAAAAACAAATCCTAACAAAATTCCAGAGCTACTTTCAACTACCTTGCTCCCGAATCCCGATCCGTTCCTAACAGGCAATAAACCCTATAACTGCCTTAGACTTTAATTTAGAAGCAGGAAAAAATGTCAAGTGAAACAAAAGGTGTTACGGAGCAATTTGCCTCACTCGCTGTCTTATTAAAGTCATTTTGTTCTCGCTCGCACAACTTCCTTGTAATAAAAACAAAGTGAATCTAAAGATTTCGGCACTCGTTTGATTGTAGTAATAGAAGTTCTCTTATAAAGAGCCTCAGATGCTTGGCTTATAGCTCAAGTAAATGCTAATAAGATTTAAAAGAAACATGAAAAAAGAAGCTCAGAGACTTGCAATAATTAAAAAAAAAATCTGGCTAAAATGCACTTTTAAACAGAATATTTTTACTTTTTTTTTTTTCCCCCAGTTTCAGGAAGGACGCTGCTATTCCTAAAAAGGAAGTTGATAAATTTCTTGCAATTAGATTGCCCAACACCCGTCCCCAAAGCTGGGACCATTTACCCAAGAAACTTTATTTAGATAGGGATTGAATGACTGATTCCATTTTAAGCCTGACAAATAATAAGAGATCTCTGGATAGCTTGCAGGGAAACGAATTGTGTACCGAATTTCAAAATCTGTTCAAACTTACTCAATCCTTTTAACAAAAATGTACTTTTAATTAAATGAATCTGACTACATCTTTCACATAGAATATGTTACGTTCAACCCCTTTTTGGAATAGCTTAGGGCAAGGGTGTCAAACTCAATTTCATCGTGGGCCGCATCAGGGTTGTTCTTGACCTCGGGAGGGTGGGGGCGTGGCCAGGGGGCGTGGCCAGCTTGACATCACTGAACCAAACTGTGGTTTGGTGTGTTTGGTTCAGAGGCTTAATGATGCTGGAACTGAATGATCAGAAATGATCTGCATTCCAGCGGTTCGAGTCCGTCTCGGTGAGACAGAGTGAGCTCCTGTCACTCGTTCCGTAGCTCCTGCTCACCCAGCAGTTCAAAAGCAGTTTGAAAGCAGGCAATATTGCAAGTAGATAAATGGGTACCACTTCGGTGGGAGGAAAAAAAATCTAGCTACGTTCATTTGTGCGGAGAGCAGAAGCTTACACTGGACCTGGCCAGACGTGAGATATTACAAAACAAGGCGAGGCGAGACAAGCCGAAGAGTGAGCAACCCGAGCTCCACGAGTTAACTGGTATGAACCTAGTTTGCCCACTATGGTGCACCAAGAATAGGCATGCAAATGTCAAACAAAATGAATTAGCAATTTAGGCTGTCAGGACTACATTAGGTGTCTAGTCGATGTAGAATTCTCTGACATTGTATACCATACACTAAATAAATAAATAACGGAAGAGGTTTTAATCTATCAGCAAATGAGCAAAAGAGTTGTAATACCTTGCTGGTGATTTTTTTTTTTTTAATATACACTCACTCCTAATTTATATTATTTTGCTTGCATATTCTCTCTAAAACAAAGGCTAAAAATTCTGGGTTTGTTGTTTTTCTAAACACAAGTTGGGATCTGCAGAATTTCACAAGCTGTAGGTTTCACCCAATAAGCCTTGAGGGAAAGCAGGTTTCTCGCTCCCATGTTAAATCACGTTCGTTTGTAAAAAAGATTGCAAAAGATTGTTGCTTATATGGAAAGATCACAACTTACTTTTTCAGGGGCTCTATGACTGTTTTTTGGATTTGATTCACCTGTTAGAAGAAGAAGAAGAACAAGAAGAAATGTTTTCAATAACCAGCAAGGCAGATCACTTGAACCAGTGTTTTTCAACCTTGGTGACTTGAAGATGTCTGGACTTCAACTCCCAGAATTCCCCAGCCAGAATTCCCCATTTCAATTCTGGGAGTTGAAGTCCAGACATCTTCAAGTTGCCATGGTTGAGAAGCACTTATTGGAACTTCATATCCAACTCCATATTTTCCAAATATGTTCTTTTCCACTCTTGTTGTTTCCATGTTTCCTTTCCATGTTTTCATTTTCAGCTAAATTAAGTATTCTGTGGCTACTGAGCATGTTAAATCTTCACCAGAATTTTCCTTCTTTTTAATTGTTGGGATTTTTACCAAAAAAAAAACACAAAAAAAAACCCCCAAACAGTTTAGCTAAGTGTAAAGATTTCTCTAAATATGTTGGTGTTTGCTCTCTTGGTTCTTAATGGATCTACTCTCGCTCCAATTCTGTACCATTATATTTGGTACTCATATTATGAGATTGTTATTACGGGAATGTGGTTCATAATATAACATAAAATCTTAAAATTAATCCAAAATATAAAAAGCCAAGAATGATGGACAATCGGTTGGGGGGAAAAAGTTATGGAACTCTGTTTTTCTATTGTGTGCACAAAGATGGAAAGATATAGTGATATCTACAATGGTCGGCTGGTTGGTGAAGATGATGGAACTTGCTGAGATGGCCAAACTGAAGTCTGTGATTAGAGAAAGTACAATATCTGTACAGCTGCCTGGAAACCTTTTATGTAGATTTTGTGTAAAAACAGAACAAAATTAACTCAATGATTTATGGGTTTGATGCCCATTTTTTCTAATTTTTTTGCTACCCGTTCTGTGGGTATGGCTTGGTGGGCATGGCTTGGTGGCCGTGGCAGGGGAAGGATACTATAAAATCTCCATTCCCACCCCATTCCAGGGGAAGGATACTGTAAAATCTCCATTCCCTCCCCAATCCAGGAGAAGGATACTGCAAAATCCCCATTTCCTCCCTATCAGCTGGGACTCGGGAGGCAGAGAATAGATGGGGGTGGGGCCAGTCAGAGGTGGTATTTACCGGTTCTCCAAACTACTCAAAATTTCCGCTACTGGTTCTCCAGAACTGGTCAGAACCTGCTGAAACCCACCTCTGGTAAGAGGTATATTAGAGAAGATTGGAAGCCACTTCTTTGTATTTTTTTTTCTTGCTCTTCTGTTTTTCTTTCTCTCTCGTGCTTTTAGCTTTCCCTTTGATCTTTTTTTTTCTTTTTTACTTTACATTAGCATTAGTTTTTAATCGTTGTTTTTAAAACCTTGAATGAAATTGTTTTTTTAAAAAAAACAAACAACAAAATATAAAAAAGCCATTACGAGTAAGCATACCAGGCAAAAGTTGAATTCCAACAATAGAGATCAGATGAGGTTCAGGGTTGAATCGCTGATTTTCTGGTACTCTCTGAGCTTGGTTGTTTTTATTTATTTTATTTTTTATTTTATTTTTATTTGATTTATATGCCGCCCTTCTCCGGAGACTCAGGGCGGTTTACAATGTGTTAAGCAATAGCCTTCATACTTTTGTATATTTATACAAAGTCAGCTTATTGCCCCCACAAACTGGGTCCTCATTTAACCTACCTTAGAAAGGATGGAAGGCTGAGTCAACCTTGAGCCTGGGGAGATTCGAACCTGCAGTAATTGCAGGCAGCTGGTCTTAATAACAGCTTAATAACAGGGTGCCTTAGACCACTGTACTACCAAGGCTCCTGAAGATATTTCAAATACCAAGCTAGGTAACATCATCAGTGCAGGAAAACAACCAAACTCAGTGATGGGCTGCTCCCGGTTCCGACGGGTTCCGACAAACCGGTAGTTCCGATGATCAGATGGCCCCGCCCACCCATCCCTGCCCTATCCTGTCTTATATTTCCTCCTTTCTGGCTCAGCTGATTCACTCAGCACAGCTGATTTCTGCGCTGTTTTACTTACGGGGCTGCCTTAGAAGGTAAGCAGCTGAGCTTCAAATTGCGGTATTTTGAATGCTACGCACAAGCGCAAAGGTATGCGTGTGCTCGGTGGACTGGTTGCGGTCCACCCCTGACCAAACTCAGGGAACCCCGACAGAAGTTGGGTTGATACAGCTTGTGCCACTCATGAGAGATAAGCCAAAAGAATTACCTCTGATAGAGTTGAGATTTAATAAATTCAGGAAGTTCTGATTTACATCTAATAATTGTGCAAATTCACCTGGCTGCAGATCCCAGCCTGAGAAGCGCAGGTTTGAGAATTTACTGTTCTGTGGCAATTACTATTCTAAATCTCAAAATTGTTAAGAATTAATTGCCTGTTTTGTTCTTTGTCATTATTTCAAATTTCACTCCGTAATAACTTTAAGTGATTTTTAAAATCCTGAAAGATGCGTACACAGCTGGTGTAGCTGCTGGCACTGTACAGTACCAGTCATGAACATCTGTACCCCCTTTTGCACATCCTCTAATATATAAAGTCAGTATTACAATCTTGACAAGAACCGTGTGGAACGATCAAGGAAAACTTCACAATGAAGGATGTCAGACTTGGAAGAACTTCTCCTTCCTCCTCAGGAATCGATCCAGAGCAAAACTTACCTTCTCTTGGTTAAAAGAATCCATTCGTTTCATTGCCGTGTCCAGGGCCATCACCATTTCGAGAAATTTAGGGTCTTGTTCACAGAGAGGATTGGCCATGAGATCCGATGAGATTTTGACAGCAGACTTTGACATGGCTATATTTGGGATAGAATTCAGGGAGAAATTGATTAAGGATTGATGCTATTAAGAGATACACGTTGATTTAGATGGTAGAAAGGGTAAGGGAGATATTTTATTTTTATTTTTTGTTTTTTTTGGTAGTCAGAGAACACCATTAATATAGAGCTGGAAAATACAGTATTTTTTTGGACTATAAGATGCACCAGTGTATAAGACATACCAAGATTTCAAAGAGGTAAACAAGAAAAAAAAAAATTGCCCTCCCCAGGCCCCAGGAGCACTCTGCAGGCCTCCCAAAGCCTCTGCGCACCCTGTGTTTGCGAAAAACACACCCGTCTTTTGCAAAAAACGGGACACGCAGGGCAGGGCTTCGGGAGGCCAAAAATGGCTGCATTCGGTGTATAAGATGCACCAACATTTCCACCCTCTTTTAGGGGGGAAAAAAGTGCGTCTTATACTCCGAAAAGTACGGTAGGCTTTTCCTGAAAGGAAAAATATGCTTTTCCTGAAAGATGGACTTCTGGATCTTCCCCTATTCTCCTTCCTCTTTTAGAATGGACTAAGTCAATACAGTTAGTCCTTGACTTATGACCGTTTTTCCACACTTATGACCGTTGCAGCACTCCCATGACCACCTGATCAAAATTCAGGTGCTTGGGCAACTGACTCATATTTACGACGGGTGCAGTGTCACGGGGTCATGTGATTCCCTTTTGGGACTTTACTGACAAAGCGAAGTCGACGGGGAAGCCAAAGTCACTTAACAACCGTGTTACTAATTTAACAGCTGCAGGGGTTCGCTTTAACAACCGTGGCAAGGAAGTTCGTAACATGGGGCAAAACTCACTTAGCAAATGTCTCACTTAGCAGCAGAAATGTGGTCGTAAGTCGAGGACTACCTGTATTAGGATCTCCCCTGAATTTCCTACCTCAAAATTGTACGAAACAACAATTGTGATCAGAGGACTCCTTGGGAGATGCAAAAAAAAAAAAAAGAGAGAGAGAGAATATTTGGCGCCATAATTAACCTCTGTGACTTCAGACTGTAGCCTTACATAGCAGTGTTTCTCAACCAAGGCTATTTGAAGATGTGTGGACTTCAAGTCCCAGAATTCCCCAGCCGGTTGCCAAGATTAAACTCTGCTATAGAGCAGGGGTCTCCAACCTTGACAACTTTAAGCCTGGCGGACTTCAACTCTCAGAATTCAGCAGAGCTGGCAGCAGATTTGGACAGTGAGGAGGTTGGGGAGAAACCTGGGCCAGTCCTGGAGTCTGGGGAAGGTTCTGATGAGTGCTCTGCGTCGGAGGCAGAGAGGGGGCCAGAGCCGTATGCCAGTTATCAGCTGCCTTCAGAGTCAGACATCAGTGAGGCAGAGGAACAGCTGAAGCCTGTTCCCAGTGTGCGCGTGCACAGAGTTGCCAGATGAAGGGAACAGCTAAAGAACAAGGGTCGACTAGGGAGTAAGGCCACAGGTGGACGATGAAGGGCCCCTCCCAGAGGGAATAAAAGAGGAGCGAAAGGGGGAGTGGAGTTTGCAGGAGACAATTAGTTCGCTTAATTGGTTCGTGACGCCTTGCCAAGTTTTGAAGATATCGGCCTGGCAGCTCTCCAAGACAGATAAGGTCTGTGACTGTAAATTCTCCCTTGAAAGACGTTGCTGGATGTGAATGAGAAGAATTCACAGTCACTTAATTAAAAGGGGATTTTGTCGGGACAGGGAGTCTGCTTCATGCTCTTGGGAAGCCTAGGTCAAAACACTTCTCCTTATAAAAAGTGGCCTAAATCTTCCCCCTTTTAATGTGGAAATTTTAAATTTGTTTTAATTATAGGGTTATGGGTAAGGCGTTTTAAATTGGGGAGCCATTTTGGATTTAATTTTGTTTTAAATGTATTTTAATGTTTATATTGTATGTTTTTTAATCTTGGCTGTTCACCGCCCCGAGTCCTTCGGGAGAGGGGGCGGTATAAAAATTTAATAAATAAAATAAATAAATAAAAAAGTATCCATTCACCATACTTCTATTTTCCTAATGCAAAAATAAGAGTCTGATATTATTCCTTGCCCAGAGCCAGCCGGCTTAATGATTGGAATGCAAATTTTGCTTTTCTTAAGCTAGCTTCTTCAATTGAACCGGTGACAGGTCAAGGGATTCACAATCCAGCTTTTCAGGAATTCATTCATTGTCTCCCGACCTCACAATAAGCTTGAAACATAAAAGCGGAGACACTCCGGAGTGCATAAAATGCTAATGGGAAAAACTCTCCAGGAATGCTAACTGGTGGCTTGGAAGAAGAGCTATTAATGAATTTGTGCAAACATCAGGATAAACACTCATAAGTAATCAAGTCCGCATTATTTAAAGGCGCCATTTAGAAAAAAGTGCCCGAGCGGAGGCTAGAAGTGGCTAGACAAGCAGAAAGGCAGCCTTTTCTCAGCGCTGTTAAGGGCTGCGTAGTTTCACCGCAGCTCTTTCAAAGCTAACAAATCGCAACCAATTAAGCTTTCGCAGCTTTCGGTAGTTTTTACAAAAAATATATATAAAAAAAAATAAAAATATATCCTCTGGCAGCTGTGACAAGATAATGAAGGCAAAGCAAAGTTAGCAAGGTGTAAAAAACCCCGACGAATGCAGTGAGGTTTATATACGGGGGGGAAAAACATTTAGGCTGCTTAAGGTGTTTGTAAGCACATTTTAGAACATTTTGTCCCGGGGACAGTTTCAGAGTCAAAGCGTAGGAGCATCCTTTCCCAGAACTAAGGTTGGACCAAGGGGCGTCGATGAATTTTAACTGAACCTGGGTTCAAATTGCACAGGTGCTATGGCAGTGATGGCTAACCTTTTTGGACATCGCGTGCCAGGAGCGGAGGGAGGTGGGGTTTGTCACGCGGACAGGTGCCCACACCCATAATTCTATGCGCCCTGCCCCGGCACATGTGACCCCCCGTTCCCCCCCCCACACTCCTGGCATGCTGGTTCCGTTTTTTGCTCTTCCCCAGGCTCCAGGGCCTTTCTAGGAGTGTGGGAAGGGCGAAAACAGCCTTCCCCACCCCACCGGAGGCCCTCCGGAGGCTGGAAATGGCCCGTTTACCAACTTATGGTCCAGGGGTGGGTTCTAAATTTTTTTACTACCAGTTCTGTGTGTGGCTTATTTTGTGGGCGTGGTTTGATGATCATGTGACAATTCTTTAGGATTTAGCAGAGGTACTGGTCTACCAGGCTTTTAACTGCTTACAGAGCTGTACCAGTCTACCCATTTGTTTTTGGAGGCACTGGTCTACCCATTTATTTTTGGAAGCACCGGTCTACTCATTTGTTTTTGGAGGCACTAGTCTACCCATTTCTTTTTGGAGGCACCGGTCTACCCATTCGTTTTTGGAGGCACTGGTCTACCACCACACTGCCTTTTAACACTGATCAGCTGTAGGGCGGCCCTTTGAAGCCCCGCAGCAAGAGTTTAAACAGTTTTTTTCCTTCTAGCCGATTAGCTGGGACTTAGGAGGCAGCAATAGATTGGGGGTGGGGCCAAATAAAAGGTAAGAATAACGCGGGGGGCGCAGAACCGGTTCAGTGATGTCATATCGTCACCATTACCGACTCGGTGGAACCGGGCTGAACCGGGAGGAACCCGCCACTGTTACAGTCCCTCCGGAAGTTGGCAAACGGGCCATTTCCGGTCTCCGGAGGGCCTCTGGGGTGGTGGGGAAGGCCGTTTTCATCCTCCCCAAGCTCCTAGAAAGGCCCTGGAGCCTGGGGAAGAGAGAAAAACAGGCCTTCCACACCACCCCCCGAGGCCCTCTGGAGGCAGGAAACAGCCTGTTTCCCTACTTCCAGTAGGCCCAAAAGGCCATAAAAATCAGCTGGGGCGTGCCAGAGCTGAGCTCACATGCCCACCGATATGGCTACACGTGCCACCTGTGGCACACGTGCCATAGATTCACCATCACGTTGCTATGGCATAAATGTGTACACCTTTCTGGGTGCCCTTGGGCCCCTGCCCCTTAAGACGTTTTAAAAATAAGTTTTACGTCTTAAAATTAATGGGAATTAATATTAATTGGTATGCAAGACCTCTGTCACCATCGATTTTTGAGCTTCATTAAGCTCTATTGACATTCCAGGAAAATAAATGTAAAAGTCAGCTATTGCACAATGTTTTGTTTACAGATGTTATCCACTTATCCAGGAAAAAAAAAAGGAAAATGTAGGATGAAGTGACAGGGAGAACATTCTCAGGGGGATAGAAGGGATGGCTAGGAGGACTCTTACTATTTTGCCTTTGATGGATAATATTTTGCGGCCTGCAGTCATTTTGAGATACAGTACATGGACTTCAGAAATTGTGGGACTTGTTTCTCAGATTCATATCGCAATGCTCCTGAACTAGGGTTACAGCTACTTATTTGCTGTAAGAAACAGAGCAAGAGATTTGAACCAACAACAGGGGTGAAATGCTCCCGGTTCGGACCGGATCGCCCGATCCGTAGCGATGGTGGTGGGTGGTTCGGAGAACGTTGGCAACCAGCCCAGAAAACAAGATACGATAAGACTTTTCCAAAAATGCTCTGATGGTAATTACAAGTTGTTTCCAGCAAGAAACTTACTAATGGCGTGTGACTTAAATAGGCTAAGGGAGTGGCCAATTATCCTCAAGCCTTACTCTCGAGGAGACCTCCTCCTCCTGAGTAGCCACTCCTGCCTTTTGGCAGCCCTATGTGCTCGAGCACTGAGAAGAGGCTCCTCCACTTCGCTCTCTCCACTTGAAGAAGCCTCTGAAGGTTCTGAAGGTCCTGGCTGAGTCTCTGCCTCTGGCATCACATCCTCTTCAGCCTCCTCGCTGTCCAACGCGAGCGCCAGCTGCGCAGGCTGCTGGCGCGACACCACACCAGCCTCCTCATCGTCGGGATCAGCCACGATCCGCGCAGGCCGCTGGTGGGCCACAACAGTGCCTTTCTTCCGCAGCCTTCAAAATCTATTCCCCAAACTTTTTTTTTTTTTGGCTCGCATTTTATAC